TCTGCCCTAGGAAGTCACTTTGATATACAGATAATATGGGGTAACACCAGTGCTGAACTCTATCCCATCACAACGAACAAACTACAATGTCGCTCCAGTCTCTGTTGTTCTAAGCAGTACAAATAACACTGAGCAAGATCATTTCCTCTTCATGCAGCATTTAATATATTTAACTGACTACAATGTTTTTTTATGTAGCCAATGCAGGCTATCATATTTCTGGAAAGTTCTGTCAAATGTTCACTACTTTTAAGAGGCACAGAATGAAAGCATGTCTTCTCTTTGCTGTTCATCATGCCCTGCACGGATGGACCTTCACAAAATAGCTGAAGATACCTGCAGGATAGAAACGGAATGCTTCCAAATATGATGCCACACCTATCTTAGTTATAAAAGTATGCATGGTTAAAATATAAATTAAGGGGGAAGCATTAATAAAAGTTTTATTAAATTCACATTCCCTGAATTCTGAGACTCCAGAAGAGGAGTCTTCTTTTCCAATAATGCTCACCTGTATTACTTATACTCCCTCAGTCACTAGTACCCAAAAAGGAGCATGGTAATAAGACTCAGAAGACCTGAGGTGGATATCTGTTTCTGTCTATAACCAGCTCCATGACTTTGAACAAGTCACTTCTGGGACTGTTTCCTCATGTGTAACAAAAAGCCACTTATTTGGGATCCCAAGCAAGAGGGTCACTTCAGGCCAGGAGTTTGAGATCAGCCTGGGCAACACAGCAAGACTCCATCTCTACTAAAAATTTAAAAATTAGCCAGGCATAGTAGCATACACCTGGAGTCCTAGATACTTGGGAGGCTGAGGCGGAACGACTGCTTGAGCTAAGGAATTTGAGGCTGCGGTGAGCTATGACTCTGTCACAACACTACAGCCTGGGTGACTGAGCAAGACCCTGCCTCCAAAAAAAGTAGGGGAGTACGGGTTAGATTTAATATCTAAGGTTCTTTCTAAGCCCAGAATTATGTCTATAATTTTTAATTGTTTTTTAACTGTTTCTTAAGAACTTTGGCAGATACCAAAACAAACACTGAAATGATTATTGAGTAAGAAAAATTAAATTGCCTTTATGGTTTGAGACCTTTTAAGTGTTCAAAATAAAAAAGGATTGACTTTTATTAAACAACTGGTTAAAAGATACAGCAGTTAAGGGAGCTAAAACCAGGGCAAATCATATAAAGAACATTTTAAATATAGGTAAAGACCTGAAAGCCATTGCTGTTCACTTCTCATTTCCTCAGCTCCACTGCTGACCAGAGCATTGCCACAATCGCCTGCACAACAAAGTCAGGGCAAGTGTTTTTCTGAGAGATTATAAAGGAGGATGTGGGAGATATGTCAGTCCGATAGTGTGCAGATCCTACTCAAAGCCAGGGAAGCAAGCACAATAAAAGATACCCTGAAAACAAGGTACAAGTGGTTGCTATTTTCAGAGGCTCAAAAATAAAAGGTTCAATTCAGTCCTGTCTTATCTGAATTGTGAGGGGCACCTACATTTCATAATAATAAAGCACTGTTAAAAGTTTCTATCATGTAAATACTAAAGAAGCTATACATACATGAAGAAATGAACACAACATTTCTATGTTTCATATCCAGTAATTTTCTTAAAGTTTAATGACTTTCACATACCGGCAAAGTTAATGCATCTTGTCTATGTAAATTGCCAAAGAATCACTCAGATAATCTGGTCTTTTGTTTAAACCTTAAATGCTTAAAACCATCACACTAGTAAGTACCTAGCCCTGACTTCCTCTGAGAAAATTTTCATCTATGCAATAACAATGAGGTACTAAAATCATCCCCGACAAAAAGGGAACAATTTTTATCAGTTATCTCATTCTTCTTGTAACTATGCAAGTCGCTTCGGTTCAAAACACTGCTCCTGAGAAAATTATTGCTTAGTACGCCTGCCTCATTGCTGAAGTTCTTAAACTGAGAATATTTTTTAAATAAGCTTTCAAAATCAAGTGAAATCGTATTTGCCACCTGGCATATAGCACTTACAAGTAAGAGTTTCTTGGTGATGCTGACCTCAACCACATAACAACCCACATTATAAATTTCTCTCCTTTCCATAACAACTTGTGACTTGATCATGCATGAATTCATCTAAAATTGTTCTTAAGCCTGCGTATATTTTAGCTTGTACAAAGTCACCAATCACTCACCCATGGCAACCAGGTGGATAAATCCACCACAAGTCATCCTAATTATAAAAACTATTTAAAAGTTGTGTGGGAGGTTTGAAGGTAAGAGGAAAATAAGAAGTTATAAAGCAGTATCTTATGTAAAATGTAACCTTTCAATGATCATAATAAGCCTACACAAAGTCAAGATTTTGTTTATAAAGAAGAAACCATCAAACTATGTATATCAGAGAATACGAGAGTGGGGATCCACGCAAATCTGACATGCAATTCCTGAATCAGTCTGGAATTGTACTAAGAGATAAATGTGTGATACAGAACAAGGCCAGCATGGTTCCTTTCTCATGTAGAGTTTGTATTTTCATTCTTTCAACATTAAGTGCCTACTTTGTGCTTGACACTACATTAAGACACCGATTGACCAACCCATAGTGACAAGATCACAAGAAACAAATATATGATCACACATAATACAGCTATCATCCTCCATGGATCTTTCTAGCAGCCCCTGGTACCAACACCCTGGCTTGGTAACAGAGCCTAAGCATGTGAAAAATCAAGAGACATTTGGACACATTTGGACTAATACAAGGATGAAAAAGAAAAACTGATGAATTAGAACAATTTTTGTTCCACTGGATGCAGATCTTGTCAAGTAATCTACAGAAAGCAATTTTTAAAATTTTTTTCTGGACCATCTTGCTCCTTCCTTTCACATTATAAATATAAACAATGTTTTACAAACAAACACTTAGTATACTTTAGAACATGAATACCAGTATCTAATTCTTTATCTTTTATCTTGTCTGACTTAGTAGTTCTCACTTGAAAATTCTCAGCAAAGACCAAAATGGCACATACACAAAAAAAATAAGCAAGAAAGAGGAAAAGTAGCCAAAAATAATAAAGGAAGAGAAATGTAATTATGTAAGTTAGTCATTTTCTGGCAAAGATACCCAATAAAAAAGTCACCTGATACAATGATGAAGCTAATCCCTCTAAAATTGCTTCTTTCATGGAGATAATTATAACTTTCTATTGGTAAACTGATAAGCATCTGGATACTAAGAGAAGAGAGGTTAAAACTGATGTATTCAATTTTTAAGTCAGCAATATGTAAAAACAAATGAATTTCAAGGTCATGCTCTAGTAAAACTGTAAAGAAAATACAACTAGGATACAGAAATTCATAAAGGCTTCCTGATTTTTGGTAAGGACTCCTTTCACTTGTGAACATACACCCCTCCCTCTGATTCAGTGGAACAGCAGGCCCCACTCTGTCCAAGGTGCTCTTCAGAAGCAGCATCAGCAAAGACGGAAAGTCAGTGAAAACCTGGTAGGCTTTGAATCTAAGACCTCAGTTCAAATTGTGATTCAACAATGTGACAAATTACTTTATCTCACTAAGGCAAAATTTTTTTATCCGAGAAACCTCGCAAGGTTTCCAGAGGTTCAAAATGTTCTAACGTGTTTGTTTTGTTTACATAAGCATTTGCGTAAAGAAAATGGCTAGATCATCAAATAAAGGGTATTACTTCAGATAAAGCACTAGCTATGTGTAAGGAAGAGGACTAGCACTAACAAATCCAAAAAGTATAACAGAATTAGAATGTCAATTACAGACAATAAACTAATAAAGTCCATCTTCTAGATGATAAGACATCTAATACATAATCATTTTGTTCTGCTTTGAACCTCATGCTGCTCTAAGATTTGACCAGTTAGGCCAATCATATGTACTGGTATTCATCAGTTAACAAGAATGTGTTGAGCACTGTCTTAGGTGTCTTGAGATTTTTGTTTTTAAACAAAATAAAATGAAATATATGACTTAGTACCAGAACTGGACCACAGGAATAAATTATATAATAGTCATTGAGGAACAAAAAAAAAAAAAAAAAAAAAAAAAAGGGAAGGAAAGGGTTGGAATTACAAGAAAAAAATCATGTCTAGAAAGGCTAAAAAGGAAAAAATGAATTAGAATGTAGGTAGTAGGTTTTAAGATGTTCATTATAAAATTCTTAGGATGTTTCTGTATGTTTAAAATTTTTCCTCAAAATTTTGGAAATAAAAGAATAAATTACATTTGTTAAGTCACTCAGATAAAAGAAAAATACAATTAGAATAAAGGTGCAAACAGCCTATCTGAGATAGCAAGAATGATGGCCAGATCAGGAAACAGGATATATATTAAGAGAAGTGAGACATAAGACTGAATATGAATTTTTTTTGTTTTGTTTTCCCATCAATACGGACATCTTCATGGCTGCAATATCTTTGGAAACCACATAAATCAAAATCCACTAACAATATTTTAGGCCTCTCAAATCCTGTAATTTATCCTTATCCTGTAACTCCAAATACATATCATTTGACAGTATTTACAACTAAGCCCTAATCTCAAATTTCAGTTAGTAAAATGAAGTAAATTCTGCAAAAATAGTTTACCATAAAAACTAATAGGACAGTGAATAGTTTTTTATAGAAAGAGAAAAATCCTATTAAATGGTAACCATTAGCAAGGAGAAGCTTGGTAAGCTTTAAATCCTAGTAACCACAAAATTTGGATTTCAACACTGTACTCTATTTTTTTTCCAATTTAATACAAAAGTATAACTGCTACCATTAAGTAGAAGCTAAAGGCAAGGTGAATTTTAATCTAACAATGTGGGGACTTAAATATGTGTGTAAATGAAACAGACCAGGTACTTATCCATAACCCAAGCAAAGCAATTAGAGGGTACTGAACTATTTCACCGTAAGTCCATTTTTTCTTTAAGCAATAATACATTGGGTTAGTAAAAGGATACAATACCAGCATCAGGAATAATTACTGAGTAGCTAAGAAGAAAATACTGCATTAGTTGACATTTGGGCTGTGTTCAAAATCGGCTTTAAAAAAATTAAGAAAGCCTATAAATGGAAAAAGCATTCTTTTTAGAAAAAAAATCTCAAGAACCTTTCGAAAATCAAAACTTAGAAGAAGTAAGACAGGGGAAATAAGAAAAAGTTAGTAACACTCAGAACCTAAAAAAAAGAAATGTACAAAATAAACAAAATGTTAGAAAGTGGGCATTAGGCAATAACATGAATAATGGAAAAATATCACTAGCAACCATGTGACAGCCAGTTTCTGAAGCAGTCATCCAAGTATCAAGCTTTGCTGTTCCTTGTCTACTTTGCTACCTCACATTTTTTCCTATTATCTAACATTGCTTCATATTCAGTCCTCTTACATAGCAGCCCTACTTCTGTCTTATTTTAGAATGGCACAAGGGTCTTATTAAGGCTTAACAATAAGCAAAATTGAAAAACTGTTTTAAAGAACTTGGTTTCTGGGTCTCATGAAAATGGTGTCCTGATCCCTACCCTTCATGCCTCAAATATATTGCTTTCTTTAGAATGCAAATGCCTTTAGAATGCCACATCAACTCAAATCATACCTACAACATGGCTTTTCAGGGTTGGCAGTAAGGAGAAGGAGGGCTTCTCAAAACAACCAGGCCACTAGACCCCAAGGGACAAAGATGGAAAGAGAAAGTCACAAAAAAGTAGGAATGAAAAATACAATTTAACCTGCAAACTTATAGCTAGCCCAGGGACTATTACTACTCTTTACAAAATGATAAATACAAAAAATTAGAAACACAGGCTCCCCCATCAGGGAAGCACATTGAGGCTCTGATTAGTCTGTCAAAAATAAAATCTGTTCAGATTACAGCTTAAAGATTTGGAAGGGTGCCTGCAGCCCATGTATGGCAGCTGCAAGTCCATGGGGAGCTCAAACAGCAATGGTGCAGGCTCGGTCCTGAAGATGCAAGCCAGAGGAAAAGATTTATGCAATTTAAGATGAAAGCAACAAAAATAAACTCCTTTGGAATGAGTGCTTATGGTCCTTTTAGCTTATAAGTGTACACACAAATACATATACACACTTGTTGAAATGGCAACAAACGCCAAGTTGGTAGCATATGTTCAAAAAAAAAAGGAAAAATAAATGTATAAATAAAAACAGCCAAGAGGTCAGAGTACAAAGCAGCTTATCCTGAGTGCCCTGGAGATAAAGGCAGATGGAGCGCAGCACTACCCAGACTCAGGTGTCTGCTGCACAAAAAGTCCAGGGATTATAATGAGCCTCTGGTGAGTATTGCAGCATATGGAACTGTGATCTTATTTAGATTATTCTCCACACTTACATGCCTTGTTTTGATTTTTGCATACTTGCCTATAAATTAGAGACACTGTTTTTAAGATACCTGTGAAATTTAATCAACATGTAATACCCTTAAGTTACTATGTATCTGCCAATCAAAACATTCAAAATTACTCATGGAAGCATGAAATAGTATAAAACAATTTTTTTAAATGTGTTATAGGCAGGCATCTGCAATGAAATACAATGATCTTTACTACATGATTCCAAAGAAGCATGAGAAATTGGAGAAAGAAAGCAACCTAAAATGTCACCAGCTTATTATCAATATTATTTGGTATATCTACTTTCAGATACTTGACCAGTAAAAGCTAACAGCTGCCAAACACAGTAGAGCATGGCATTATGTGACATCCTATTAGTTTGATATAAGACTCTTTAAAAGAAGCAATGTATTAAAAGGTATGATATTAGCGCAGAAGCAGACAAATATAGAAATGAAACCAAAGGAAGCGGAAGTAGTTTCAAAATGTTTACTAATTATTTAACAGGTACATTCTTCATAATGTGAAACCTAATTCCCCTTCCCTTAAGCACGAGTCGGACTTAGTGACCTGCTTCTCGCAAACAAAATGTGACATAAGTGATGGTATGTGACTTCTGAGGCTCGTTGTAAAAAGAATAGCTTCTCCCAGGCTCTTTCTCCTCTCTCTCAGGTCATTACTTTTAGGCAAACCAGCTCACCCGATCATGAGAGAAGCTGGCCCTGGCAGAAGTCCATGGAGAGGAACTGAACCAACAACCACACCCACTCACCACCCAGCAAGTGAGCCACTTTCAAGGCAGTCTCTCCAGCCTCCATTAAGCCTTTTAATGACTGTGGCTAGAGATGAAATCTTAACTTCAACCTTAAGAGAAACACTGAATCTAAACTACAAAGCTGAGCGACTCCTAAATTTCTGATGACTCATGGAAACTGTGTGGGATAATAAATATGTTAAGCCACCGATTTTGGTGGTTGTTTTGCAGAAATAACTAATACAATACTAAATGCACAAAAATATCCAAGGACACAAAGAAATTTGGTATTTGATTAAGTTGACATTCATATTGGGAAGAGAAGAAGTTGAATTAACAAGTTATGTTGAAACAACTAGCTACAATTTGGAGGGAGAATAAAATCAAAGGTGGATATTTATTAAATTCATTATAAGAAAATTAATTCCAGATAAGTCAAACATTAAATGTAACAAATAGAAATATAAAAATATAAAAGAAAATAAAGGCAACAGTCTTTTAAGTTTGGAAAGAGGCCTTTCTGAACATTTTACAAAACCCCAAAAACATAAAGGACAAATACCGATAGATCTCATTACAAAAAATCAAAACATACCATAAATAAGGTTTAAAGACAATCAGCAGGATATAAAAAATTATAACATTTATTAATCATGAAGGCTCAATATCTCTAAAATTATACAATTTTTTTTTAATTTTTGTTCTTCCCCACGCCCACAATTCTTATACAGTGTAAGAAAAAAGACAAAAGTTCTGAGAGAAAGGGGAATAAAATTTATGAAAAGTATTTCACTGAAACAAAATATGGACAGTATACAAAGACATAAAAAGACATGCAAACACGCTAATAATAAAATGAATATAAATAAAAACAAAGTATCACTTTAGTCTATCAAACTGACAAATATAATATGGCAATATGTGCCAAAATGTTACATGAATACACCTTCTGATGCAGAAACACCATCCCAGAATTTCTTTTATGGATGCAAAGATATGATCAAGGATTTTCAATATACCATTTTTATTACAGTGAATAACTGAAAACAACCAAATGTCCACAAATATGTAAATAAATCATGGCATGCATACAGTAGAATAATTTGCAATCATTAAAAAGGACAATATATAGTTATATTGCTTGAGATTCTGTTTCCAAAAAAGTTGGAAGATTGCATGTATAATATGAACCCATTTATGTGAAATTTTATACACACACAGCATCATCCTCATTGTCATCCTTATTACCATTATCATCATAGAAAGAGGTCAAGTAATAAGAACATAAACCAAAATGATGACAGTATTTATTTGCAATCAAAGGAATTTTACTTTAGTTTTTATATTTTTCCATATTAATTAAATCTTCAGAAATAGGTATTTAGTATCTTTATATACTAAAACAAAATTAACATTACAGTCTATTCTGCTACAGTAGATATTTCTTAATGTAAATTAGCTCATATGTAGGAAAATGACATCAGTATTATGTGAAAGCTACGCTGGTTCATATACAATTTTCCCCAGTAATGAAGGTTTTGATCCAACCAAGAGCAAGTTTTCTCCCAATTAAAGCAAAAGTCTCATTTGGTGGCTTCAAGACTTTCCACTGTTAAAGGCGGCTGAGAATACCAACAAAGAAATGCAAAAATATTTTCACCTGTATTTAAAATAAAATAAAATCAATAGGTCAATACTCTGGAGCAGATTTTCAACTTTAATGAAATTGGTCTGTATTAGAAGTAGATGACTTTAAGGACCCACAACAAAGGAAGAAAACCAGGATTTCAGGCTAAGATCGACGTGATGCTGGGAGCAAATGCCAGTAGGGATTTAATAGTGCTACTGTTTTTATTGCAACTTCTATTTCCTTAGCTCTGTTTGCAAAATTCCACTGGTTTCAAATTATCTGTCCCTAGCCCTATTTTCTTTACAGGCCCTAAAATGTTATGGTATAATTTTGCAAAATTAAAAATTTTTCAGGAATGCATATAAGTCACTAATAGCAGAAATGCCTCTACTATTCTGAGTAAAATGCAGTAAGGTAGAGAAATGTTACATACCAAAAATAGAAACAAAAAACAAAGAAAGAAACCAAAAAAGAGAAATGAAGGAAAGGAGGAGGAAAGGAAAGGAGGGAAAAAGAGGAGGAAGAGGAAAGAAAAAACTGCATACCTCACTTTGTTTCTGTGACAGTGTCTAATGAAAGATATTAAATGCAAGGCAAAACAATCTCAACATTCTTGATTTATACCACACATTTTGATTCTATATATCTAAAGAAATGGTCTTTACCTCATCAGACACTTAAAATCTAAACAAGGCAGTGAATTAAACAGTCATCCACTATGGTAGGGGAGGAAAAGGGACTAATCCAATTAACTTTTGGACACATTATTTTATTATACCCAAACCAAGAATATATAATCAAATGCTATGGGAGGTATTTGGGCTGGGAAGTTGAGGGGGTGAGGAATGCAAAGAATAGGGGAAACAATTCTGAAATTACTTAAGGTACATTGTAGGATTTAGCAAATGAGTTGGGAGAAGAGGGTTGACTGTGGGAAAAGGAGACATAAATGCCCAGGGGAAATCAGGGAAGAATGCTGTGGGGTCCTAGAAGCAAAACCATAGAAGGCGGAATGAATGTACCTAGTACTCAAATCTTAAGAGTCTAATATCATTCCCTACTGATTCTGGGACTGGAGTAGGGAAGGTTTAAGATGAGCCTGAAACATTTTCTGTGGCCACTAAGAAGTACTTAGAAAAAGATGGAAGTACATCAAAAGGACACAGGAGCTTGCTTGGTGATCCCACTGGCTAAATATGAAAAAAATTTGACTACTTATAACAAAGCCAGTAATGAGTTTAAACCACTAAAAAAAAAACTTTGATTTTGCTAATTTTCTAAAACTGAGCAACACTTAAAAATATGTGTTTTAGCTTCAAAAGGTAAATCAGGTAATTTAATTTCATTTAAGTAATTAATACCATGAAAAAAAATGTTACAAACTACTAAGTTAAGTAAAATATGCAATATTGACTGGGGGTTGTTTTTTGCTGTTTGGTTCTTTGGGTTTTTTTGAAACAAGGTCTCTCTCTGTTGCCCACACTGGAGTGCAGTGGCATGATCATAGCTCACTGTAGCCTCAACCTCTCGGGCTCAAGTGTTCCTCCCACGTCTGCCTCCCAATAGCTAGGACTACAGATGCATGCCACCAGACCTGGCTACTTTTTTGTATTTCTTATAGAGATGGAGTCTTACCATGTTGCCCAGGCTGTTCTCAAACTCCCGAATTCAAGCAATCCACCAGCCTCAGTCTCCCAAAGTGCTGGGATTACAGGCGTGAGCCACCGTGCTCGGCTAAAAATACTGTTTTAAAGTAAGTCCCCTTTATGATCATTCTCAGAAATATGTTAGAAAAGAAGTCCCCTTGCAGGTATAAAAAATTTTTTTCAATTTACAAATTATCCTTCTACACTTATTTCCAAATAATAATTGTTGAGCTGAGTTAAAGCTTTCACTATTCTTTGAGTATTATATCTGCATATCCAACTGTTAACTGAATTTGAGGTCCATTCGTAAACCAAAAAGGTTATGACTTTGAGCACTATTTAAAATGCACAGTGTTTTATTAATTGTCATTAGTAGTACTATTATACAGCGGTTGTACACTGGTACGTTTGTTAAGAAACAGCTGACGTTGAAATTTTCTGGCCCTAAAGGACATGTTGGGTGAAGCAGAGAAATCTTAACCAAAAAAAAAAAAAAAAAAAAAGTGTGAATCAACATCTCTTTCTTTGGTATTTACTCCATGCACATCAATAAACATTTATGGGAACATCTGTGACCTGACAGGCATCATACTGGTTTCTACGAAACTGAAAGAGTAAAGACATTTCTGTGTAGTATCTATATAGATATTGAACATTAAGCAGTGTTCTTTGGAATTATTCCAGCATTGTGAAAAGGCTAAGAGGGCCATAAAAAATAAAACGAAGAAAGATGGATTTTATAAAGGATAGAGGCAATTGGAGATGTCACAGAAAGACAAACTACACAGCATTCTATATTCTCTGGTTCTTCTACTTTCAGAGAATGACTCTATCATCCAAACAGCTGCCCAAAGGTCAACATGGTAGTGAGCCAAAGTGACCACTCATAAAAAAAAATAGAAATCATCCTTTCTCTTGCTTGAAATCCTTCAATAATGCCTCATTTTCTATAACATAGTATCAGGCTGCTTAGATTTAGCATACAAGGCTAATTATGATTAGATTCCTAGTCTCATCACTTTCACTCTTTTTTTCGAGACAGAGTCTGTCACCCAGGCTGGAGTGCAGTGGTGCAATCTCAGCTCACTGCATCCTCTGCCTCCCAAACTCAAGCAATCCTCCCACTTCAGCCTCCCAAGTAGCGGGAACCACAGGCATGTGCCACCACACCTGGCTAATTTTTTTTTTGTGGAGATGGAGTCTCACCATGTTGCCCAGGCTAGTCTCAAACTCCTGAGCTCAAGTGATCCACGCACCTTCCCAAAGTGCTGGAATTACAGGTGTGAACCACCACGCCTGGCCAGTTTCTCAACCAAACCCAGCTCCATACAATTTCTAGACTATGCCATACTTTTACTTGTCTCTGGGCCCTTATACATCTCTCCCTTCTGTCTACATCACTCCTCCCACCTTTCTTTGTTTTGGCCAGCTCTTACCCATCCTTCATGTTAGCTTAGATGTCACTGTATCAGGAAGTCCACTCTGACTCTCCAAATCTGACTGATTCCCTTCCTGTGTGTTCCCATAAAACTCTATCCTTCCCATACTCATGAAATGGTAGCACGGCATTTATCACACCCGATTTTCTCATCCTTACCTCTAATCAGCTGTGATTTCTGTGAGGGCAGAAACACTTGTTAAATGCTGTACTTCAGTGCCTTGCACTTAAGTGCTCAGTGTTCAATACAGTTTCATTGAAGAAATTAATAAATCACTTAGCTGTCCATATAAACTACATCACACTAAGAATGTGATATTAAGTTCTGGAGGCCTAGATTGAATGGCACTGTACCACCACATGCCATAAATTGTGTGTGTGTGTGTGTTGTATATGTGCACACAAATGACTATCTCCATCTCTTACCTGACAGTTTTACTTGACAACTGAAGACATTTATGGAGAAAGTTATTTTTAAAATAAATTATACTTATGCCTTAAGTATAAATATACACAGAAAAAAATAAGCAAACTAGGCACAGTGGCTCATGCCTGTAATTCCAGCCCTTGAGGAGGCCGAGGCAGGAGGATCACTTGAGCTCCAGAGTTTGAAACCAACCTGAGCAGCACAGGGAGACCCTGTCTCTATAAAAACAAACAAACAAAAATTAATGTAGCCAGGCACGCTGGCACATGCCTGTGCTCCCAGCTACTCAGGAGGCTAAGGTGAAAGGATCTTTTGAGCCAAGGAGATCGAGACTACAGTGAGCTTTGATCACACCACTGCACTCCAACCTGGGTGACAGAGCCATGAGACCCTGGCTCATTTTTTAAAAAAGAAAAAGGTCAGGTGCAGTGGCTCACCTGTAATCCCAGCACTTTGGGAGGCTGAGGTGGGCAAATCATGAGGTCAGGAGTTCAAGGCCAGCCTGGCCAACATGGTGAAACCCCATCTCTACTAAATATACAAAAAATAGCCGGGTGTGGTGGCACATATCGGTAATCCCAGCTACTCAGGAGGCAGAGGCAGGAGAATAGCTTGAACCTGGGAGGCAGAGGTTGCAGTGAGCCGAGATCATGCCACTGAACTCCAGCCTTGGCGACAGAACGAGACTCCATCTCCAAAAAAACAAAACCAAAAACAGAACATACATAGATTATTACATATATCTGTATATTGAACTTCAGGAAGGGTGTGTGTGTGTGTGTGTGTGTGTGTGTGTGTGTGTGCGCGTATGCATGTGTTTCTTCAATAAATCATAGCACAACATTCTTGTCCAAAGGCAGTAAAGACGAATAAGAAGGATCAAGTAACCTTCATAACCCACTCAACTATAAAGCATTAAGAATTGTTTTCCCAATTAACAGCTGATTTTTAGGAAGTGTTTAGATTTTCCTTAACAGCAACATTCTTCAGTCTGTGCTCCATGGTCTCCTAATGATTCCCAGGAGTCTTGAGGGCTGGGGGGAGCAGGTGCTAAATGAACAGAGCTCTCAACCTGCCTCAGTAAGAGCCACTCTGCTTTTATCTCTTTTTTTTTTAAATAATGTTATTCCAAGCAAGATTTTCTTTGAAGGAGCGTTCACTACGTTAAAATAAGAATAAAAGAAAAAGGTTAAAAAACGCTGCCTTAAAGAATCAGCAGTGGATTGAGGTTTGTAATATATAATTCAAGCTCTAATGTATTTCATATTTCTTGGTTAGCCTTAATTCAACTGTCAGGTTTATAGGCCTTTCTTTGTGCTAAAATGAGAAATACCATTTGAATACAGAAATATCCAGGTAGAGGAAAAATGAAATGTGTTTTTGAGAAGTATATTTATTCTGTGATGCAGCTATTTCTAAATTTATTTATCTTATTATTTCTAATGGCATTATTTATGTACCAATCTTCAAGTTAACGATTCATAACATAGAACACCAAAATAATCTAATTGAACAACAG